ATAAATAGAAAGAAATTAATTGGCACTAATATGTAGAGAAAAAAAATTAGCCGGGCATGGGTGGCGCATGCCTGTAGTCCAGCTACTCAGGAGGTGAGGCAGGAGGATCGCTGAGCCCAGGAGATTGAGGTTGCTGTGAGCGAGGCTGACGCCACGGCACTCACTCTAGCCTGGGCAATGAGTGAGACTCTGTCTCAAAAATAAATAAATAACTAAATAACAGTGGTGTATATACCCCAATGGAATACTATCCAGCCTGAGACGGAAGGGAACCCCTGTCACTTGTGAGAGTATGGGTGGAATTGGGGAACATCACGCCAAATGCAACAGATCAGGTACAGGAAGGCAGGCACTGTCCGTTCTCATGCGCGCGTGGAATCTAAAACATCTCAACTCAGAGAAGCAGAGAGTTGGGGGAGATGATGATCAAAGGGCATAAACCCTCAGTTAGACACAGGAATGTGGTTTTTCCGTGTTGAGTTCTGCACGTGTGTGGAATATGGTTAAGAATAGAGCATTGGACATTTCAAAGTTGCTGAGAGAGGACATTTCAAATGTCCTCGCCACAGAAAGTGTGAAGCGTTTGAGCTGATGGGATTTCAATTAGCTTGATTTAATTATTCCACATTGCATTCACAAATTATAACATCCCTTTGTACCCTATACGTGTATGCAATTATAAATTGTCAATTGATGGGGCGGGTTTGGTGGCCACACACCTGTAATCCTAGCACTATAGGAGGCCGAGGCGGGAGGATTGCTCAAGGTCAGAAGTTCGATACCAGCCTGAGTGAGACCCCGGCTCTACTAAAAATAGAAAGAAATTAATTGACCAACAAATATATATATATATATATTATATATTATATATATATATATACACAAAAATTAGGCCAGACGTGGTGGCTCACACCTGTAATTCTAGCACTCTGGAGCCTGAGTGGAGGATGCTCGAGGTCAGGAGTTCGAAACCAGCTGAGCGAGACCCTGTCTCTACCAAAAATAGAAAAAATTAATTGACAACTAAAATTTATATACAAAATTAGCCAGGCATGGTGGCGCGTGCCTGTAGTCCCAGCTACTCAGGAGGCTGAGGCAGGAGGATTGCTTGAGCCCAGGAGATTGAAGTGCTGTGAGCTAGCTGATGCCACAGCACTCACTCTAGCCTGGGCAACAGAGTGAGACTCTGTCTCAAAAAAAACCCACAAAAAACAAAACAAAACAAATTAGCTAGGCATGGTGGCACATGCCTGTAGTCCCAGCTACATGGAAGGCCAAGGCAGGAGGATTGCTTGAGCCCAGGAGATTGAGGTTGCTGTTAGCGAGGCTGACCCACGCACTCACTCTACCTGGACAACAAAGTGAGACTCTGTCTCAAAAAAAAAAGAAAAAGAAAGAAAGAAAGAAAGAAAATTGTCAATTGACAATGAAAAAAAGAGGTTAAACACTGAATTCCCATATGACCTGGCAGTTCCACTTCTGAATATTTACCCCAAGGAACTGAAAGCCAGAGACTTGAACAAAAACTTGTACCCACATGTTCATAGCGGTGCTGTTCACAAGGGCCAAAAGGTGGGAAGAGCCCGATGTCCACGGACAGCTGACTGGACGGTGGCATATGCAGATGACAGAACATTGCTAACAGTAAGGTGGAATGAAGTTCGGACCAACTTCACGGTGGGGATCTGGAAAATTATTGCCCGGTCAAAGAAGACAGACCCAAAAGGCCACAGAGTGTGTGATTTCATTTATAAGAAATGTCCAGAACATGGAAATCCACAGAGACAGAAAATAGATCCGGGGGCTAGGGCTGGGGGGTGGGAGTGGGGGTGTGGTGGCGTGCTGCTAATTGGTAGAGGCTTTGTTTGGGGATGAGGAAAATGTTTTGGAGCCAGCAGATACAAGGGGTGGTTGCAGAACACTGCGAATGTGCTAAATACCACTGAACTGTATACTTTATTTTATTATTATTTTTGAGGCAGGAGTTCTCTTCTGTTGTCCAGGCTAGAGTGAGTGCCGTGGCGTCCAGCCTCGCTCACAGCAACCTCAACTCCTGGGCTCAAGCGATCCTCCTGCCTCAGCCTCCCGAGTAGCTGGGACTACAGGCATGCGCCACCATACCTGGCTAATTTTTCTATTTTTAGTAGAAACGGGGTCTCTCTCTTGCTCAGACTGGTTTCGAACGCCTGAGCTCAAGCGATCCTCCTGCCTCGGCCTCCCAGAGTGCTGGGATGACAGGTGCAGCCACCACCTGGCCCTGAATTGTATACTCTAAGTGGTTAATTTTATGTTACGTGAATTTTACTTCATCAATAAAAAAGGGGGGGCCTCTCTGACTCCCCCCCTGCACGGATTAAAGCTAGGCCCCCTTCTGGAGACGGCTGGTAGTGATGACGGCACCACGTGAATGCACTCAATGCCACTGAACTTAGACTTAAAAATGGTTAAGATCATAAATGTTATGTGTGTTTTAACCACCAATAAGGAAAAAAAAAAACCCAGCATGCCTATGCCATGTTTCTATCTTTTGTTGATCTTTTTACTTTCTTCCCTCAGTATAATTTGAAATTATGAGTTTTCAGGTATGATTCATTATAAAGGAGCATAGGGGGCAAGAGCCAGGCCTACCTTTTTCATAACAGCAGCCCTAGCACCAGACTGAATGAGCTTTTCATATGCTCAGAGAGGTTAAGCTACTTGCCTAAGGTCACACAGCAATTTTTTTTTTTTTTAAAGCCTCACATTATTAAGCATTTTATCTTTGTCAAGATCCTAACTCTTTGAATCCTCAGAGTCTAGCCTGGAAGGCAGGTTCCATTATTATTGCCATTTTGAGACTTTTTTTTTTTTTTGAGACAGAATCTTGCTCTGTTGCCCAGGCTAGAATGCAGCCGTGTCATCATAGCTCACTGTGACTTCGAACTCCTGGACTCAAGCGATCCTCCTGCCTCGGCCTCCCAGAGTGCTAGGATTACAGGCGTGAGCCACCGCGCCCAATCTATTACTGCCATTTTATTAGGGGACGAAACAGGGGCTCAGCGAGGGAAAGTGACTAGCTCAGGATCACACAGCATGGAAATGAAGGCACCTAGAATTCAAGGGCTCGAGAGTGGATCTTTTCAACCAGAGCAGTCTGAGACCTGAGCGGCCACCTCCGAGGCCTCAGTTTCCCCAGTGCACGTCACTGTACTCACTACTTCTGGCTCTGGAGGTGCAGCGCGGACGGGGCTCCCAGGTCCCCGAGAGGCTCCCAGGAGCAGTTCAAGCTGCCCAAGGGCCCGCTCCGTAGCATTGCAGTTTTCCGGGGCTGCCTGGAGGGGGAGGCAGAGGGGCTCAGGGAACGGGGTTCGCCCCCCCCCCCCGCGCCGCCCCGCGCAACCCCCCCACCTGGGCTTGCCTGCACTTGAGACGGTCGCGCAGGGCCTCGCGGAGCCCCGTGCGCAGACGCGCGGGCACCCCTACCCGGGCTTCGGGCACACCCGGCCTTGGGCTGCCGGCCACATCCTGCCCAGCGCGCCGGTCCCTCCGCCCGCATGTCCGACTCGCTGCCGGCCACATGCCCACCCCTTCCGTCGCCCGGGTCCCTGCCCGGGGAGGCGCAGAGCGGCGTCTGTCCCCCTCCCCAGCCGGCGCTCCGCAGACTCGGGGTTCACCTGGGGGTCCCTGCCCGGGGAGGCGCAGAGCGGCGTCTGTCCCCCCCTCTCCCCCAGCCGGGCGCTCCGCAGACTCGGGGTTCATCTGGAGGATCCCGCCTGGGAGGCTCAGAGCGGCGTCTGTCCCCCTCTCTCCCCCAGCCGGGCGCTCCGCAGACTCGGGGTTCACTGGGGTCTCGCCCCAGGGAGGCTCAGAGGGCGTCTGTCCCCCTCCCTCCCCCAGCCGGGCGCTCCGCAGACTCGGGGTTCACTGGGGGTGTCCCCGCCCCGGGGAGGCTCAGAGCGGCGTCTGTCCCCTCTCTCCAGCCTGGCTCCGCAGACTCGGGTTCACCGGGGGGTCCGCCCCGGGAGCTCAGAGCGGCGTCCGTTCTTTCCCCAGCCGGGCGCTCCGCAGACTCGGGGTTCACCGGGGCGGGGTCGCGCCTCGGGCGCCGGCGCCGTCTCGGTCCCGAACTCACCGTGCGGCCGCGTCCCGGGCAGCAGCGCGAGCAGCACCGGCAACAGCAGCAGCAGCAGCCGCAGCGCGGGCCGCGGCGGGTCGGGGGCGACGCGGCCCCCGCCATGGCGCCCGCACGCGTCGGTCCGCGGCTTCGCCCGCCTGCGCGGCTTCCTCCCTCCGCCCCGCGCCGGGGCGACGACGGGAAGCCCGGCCGCCCCTGCAGCCGCCCCCGCACCTCGCGCCGTCCCGCCCCTCCCCCGCGCCGGAAAGGGGGGAGGGCCGCGGCTGGGGACACTGGGGGCGGGGCGGCTCCGAGGGTGACACCCAGCTCCCCTCAATCCCGGCCCCCCCCACCCCCTGCGACCACGACACACACGCGACTCTGCCAAGTCCTTTGGGATTTTTATTGCTGGGGACGCGTGGGGTTCTCAGGTGATCAGAGGAAGTTAGGGGGCCTGCCGCCACCCTCGGGCCACCTGGCGGGGGAAGGGGGGAGGAAACCGGGCTGGAAGGCAGGGAAAAGGGAGCGAGCAAAGGGTGGACTGATTTGGGCTGCCGAGGGGACAGAGGCCGCAGTTTGGGCTGGGGAGGTCGGCAGGGGTCTCGGCGTGGCCCGCTTGGGCAGAATAGGGACACACATGGGGGGGCGGGGAGGCCAGGCAGGGGCCTGGCTTGCGCTGGGGAGAGGCCAGGAGTCAGGGCCAGGGACTGCGGGTTTGGCCAGGCAGGGGACACAGCCCGCGCAGGACACGGGGTCAGGAGCGGCTGGCTGAAGGTGGGGACTGGGAGTGGATGGGGGGACTGTGCGGGACCCCCCAGCGCCCGGCCTCCGATGGACGGGTGTGCGAGGGGACGACAGGCCCGGCTGGGGACGTGGGTCCCGGTGCGCCCAGCCGCCCAGCCCGGAGCTAGCAGAGGCTGCTGATCTCGCTCTTGCTGCAGCCCCACCTGCAGCAGCTGCTTGAAAGGCCGGCCAGGACGTCCCGGCCACCGCGAAGAGCCCCCGGAGTGTCCCGCCAGCTTGGCCGGCCCCCGTAGAAGGCCTGGGGAGACTTGGTCAGGGCCAGCCACTCGCTGGAACCCACAGCCTCATCCAGCTCGCCGGCCAGGCCGTCGCCGTCTGCACCTGGGAAGGCATCCTCTGTAAAAAAAAAAAAAAAGAAAAAAGAAAAAAGAGGAGAGTTAGTACTCAGGGCCCAACTTCCGCCACACCCAGAGTCCTGGCTCCTGGCTGGTCCCGCTACTTCTCTGTTTTGTGATACAGCCTCGTGGTCCAAAGTTTTGATTTCACTCAGTCCTGGATTAAAACTTTGTCACCAGCTTTAATGGGCAGATGACACAACCTTACTGACCTTGACTTTCCTGTCTTGACATTTATTTCCCCTTACTCTTTACTTATTGAGGACCCGGTGGTTAAGAGCCAGTATTTGGGAGCTGGGCTGACTGAGTACGAATCTAGTCTCTCCAAGCTATAATCTTGAGCAACCGAATTTACCTCTCTGAGCCTCAGTTTCCTTATCTGCAAAGTTTGGAGAATAATAACCCCTACCTTCTCAAGTTTTATAAGGAATAGAGGGGTTAATACCCATAAAAATCTTAGAACAATGTCTGGCTCATTATAAGCATGCAAAATAGCACTGATGCTTTATCAAGCACTTACTGCATGCCAGACACTATGTTATGTGTTTTAGCGGATTAACTTCTTTTTTTCTTTCTTTTATTTTAGACAGAGTCTTGCTTTGTTGCCCAGGCTAGAGTGAGTGCCGTGGCATCAGCCTAGCTCACAGCAACCTCAATCTCCTGGGCTCAAGCAATCCTCCTGCCTCAGCCTCCCGAGTAGCTAGGACTACAGGCGTGGGCCAGCTCATTTTTTCTATATATATTAGTTGGCCAATTAATTTCTTTCTATTTATAGTAGAGACGGGGTCTCGCTTTTGCTCAGGCTGGTTTCGACCTCCTGACCTCGAGCGATCCGCCCGCCTGGGCCTCCCAGAGTGCTAGGATGACAGGCGTGAGCCACCGCGCCCGGCCCGGATTAACTTCTTTATTTGGCTTAACGGCAACCACATGAGGTGGGTCATGTTATTATCACACCCATTTTCCAGCAGAGACCACTGAGGCACGGGTGGGCAGAGGCCCTGCACAGGAGCACACAGCTATGAATTGTAGAGCTTCTGTTTCAACCCAGGCAGGGTGTCTTCTGGGTCCAACCTCACATCCACCCACCCTCCTCCTCCTCAGTCTCCTTGGCATGAACATGTGTGCTCTGGCCAGGCCCCCGCCCCTCACGGGACCAGGTCTCCTGTCCCCCCAACCGTCGTCCCCTTTGAGCCTGGACTGAGCCCCCTGCCCTGCTGAGCCCTTGGTGTGGCCTCAAGGCTGGGCGGGTGTCACCTGCTGGGTGTCGTAGGGCAGGGACCCGGTCCTCCAGCCACCCTTCTCATTTCTGTCCTTGGGTCCTGGGTCCCGTCCAGCCATCTGTCCCCTCCTGCAGCGCCTGCTTACCAGCCACGGCGTCCTGGGCCGGGGTGTCTGCCCGTCGCCACCGGGAGCCGCCGCAGGTGAAGATGACGGCTCGGATGAACTCGCGGCCGCAAAGCTTCACCCCGTAGGGCGCCGCCCGGGCCTGGGCGCCCGGCCAGAGCTGCCCGGCCAGCAGCCACGCCAGCAGCAGCAGCAGCGGGGACAGCGCGCGCTTGGCCATGCCGGACAGCGCCGCCTCGCCTCGGCAGTGGGTCGGTCTCTCTGCCGCCGCCCGGCCCCCCATTTATACATCGCTGGGGGGGCCCCCCCTGCCCTGCCCGCAGGAAGCCGAGCGACCTCCTTATCTCCCCGGGCACAGGGGAGGCGGCCACGGCCCCCGCAACCTGACCTTTCCGGTTGTCCACTGAAGCGATGACCTTTCATCAGGGACACGGCGACGAGGCCCAGCGCACTGTCATCTGCCACAGGGAGAGGACACGAGGCCTCGGTCGTGCAGAAACCAGAACCGGTGCTCCCGCCAGGCAGGGCCAGGGGACAGAGCTAGACCCCCGTCCCCCCCGCCCATGGGGCCGGAGTCCTAGGCAGTCGCACGCACAGCCATGGTGGCGCTTATGCGGCTCCGAGCGTTTGGCCTCAGTAACGTGTTTAACCCTCCCGCAACCTGTGATAATGGTTCCCAGTTGAGATCAAGCCTCGAAACTTTCTGGAGGACTTGTTTTTTTGTTTTGCTTTTTTTTTTTTGAGACAGACTCACTTTGTTGCCCTGGCTAGAGTGCCGTGGCATCAGCCTCGCTCACAGCAACCTCAAACTCCTGGGCTCAAGCGATCCTCCTGCCTCAGCCTCCCGAGTAGCTGGGACTACAGGCATGTGCCACCATGCCCGGCTAATTTTTCTTGTATATATTTTTAGTTGGCCAATTAATTTCTTTCTATTTTTAGTAGAGACGGGGTCTCGCTCTTTTTCAGGCTGGTTTCGAACTCCTGACCTTGAGCAATCCGCCCGCCTCAGCCTCGCAGAGTTGCTAGGATTACAGGCGTGAGCCACCGCGCCCGGCCTGGAGGACTTGTTAAAACACAAACTGCAAAGCTGGATGCAGTGGCTCACGCCTGTAATCCCAGTGCTTTGGGAGGCCGAGGTGGGAGGATCGCTTGAGGCCAGGAGTCAGAGACCAGAGTAAGTGACCTAGCAAGACCCCATCTCTATGAAAAATTTAAACATTAGCCAGATGCGGAGGCACCTGTAGTCCCAGCCACTTGGGAGGCTGGAGCCAGAGGATCGTTTGAGCCCAAGAGTTTGAGGCCGCTGTGACCACGATGGCACCACTGCGCTCCAGCCTGGGCGGCAGAGCTAGACCCTGTCTCAAAAATAGACAAAAAACACAGGCCACTGAGTCCCAACCGCACTGGACCCAACAGGGCTGTGAAGGTCTGCCTTTCCAACCAGTTCCCAGGCGCTGCTTGCCCGGAGACCAGACTTTTGAGAGCTGCTGGGCTATAAGGACTAAGATTACCCCCCCAATTACAGATGGGGAAACTGAGGCACAGAGGAATTTCACGAGGTGCTCGAGGTCAGTCAGTTGGTGGGGGATGAGGTTGGGGGTGGTTCAAATGGACCAGTCCTAGGGTCCACGCTCTGCGAGGGAAAAATCCCAATGATGTGAAAACGTGTCATGCAGCCAGAGTCTCAGTTTCAGAAGACGAAGGGTGCGGGGGACCGAGGCCGACGCTGGCGGCACAACGGCGTGAGCCCACTCAGCGCTGCCGAAGTGCACACTTAAAAATGGGGAAGAGGAGCAATCTCATGTTGTGTGTTATTTCAGCACAGTTAAAAATAGCAATTAAAGAGTGTCTCATTGGCCAGGCTCAGAGGCTCACGCCTGTAATACTAGCGCACTGGGAGGCCGAGGCAGGAGGATCACTTGAGGTCAGGAGTTCAAGACCAGCGTGAGCAAGAGTGAGACCCCCATCTCTATTAAAAATAGAAAAAGACATATCCAATGTGCAATTCCTGAGTCAAAAAGAGAAAAAAAAAAGAAAAAGAATTAGCGAGGCGTGTAGTCCCAGCTACTAGGAGGCTGAGGCAGGAGGATCGCTTGAGCCCAGGAGTTTGAGGTTGCTGTGAGCGAGGCTGACGCCACGGCACTCCAGCCTGGGTGACAGAGGGAGACTCTGTCTCAAAAAAAGAAAAAAAAAGACCACATGTACTCACCAGTAAATTGGTATTAATGGATCAACACCTAAGTGGACATATAGGAAAAACATTTATCAGGTGCCCGGTGGCCGGGCGCGGTGGCTCACAGCTATAATCCCAGCACTGTGGGAGGCCGAGGCGGGTGGATCGCTCAAGGTCAAGAGTTGGAAACCAGCCTGAGCAAGAGTGAGACCCCGTCTCTACTATAAATAGAAAGAAATTAATTGGCCAACTAATATATATAGAAAAAATGAGCCGGCGCATGGTGGCGCATGCCTGTAGTCCCAGCTACTCGGGAGGCTGAGGCAGGAGGATCGCTTGGGTCCAGGAGTTTGAGGTTGCTGTGAGCCAGGCTGACGCCACGGCACTCACTGAGCCTGGGCAACAAAATGAGACTCTGTCTCAAAACAAACAAACAAAAGAACATTTATCGGGTGTCTTGGCAGCTGGGAGGGGGAAGGAGGGACGGGCATATACAAACACAATGAGTGAGATGTGCACCGTCTGGGGGATGGTCACGCTTGAAGCTCTGACTCGAGGGGGTAGGGGGGCATGGGCAATATATGTAACCTTAACATTTGTACCCCCATAATATGCTGAAATAAAAAAAAAAGAATAGGCGGACGCGGTGGCTCACACCTGTAATCCTAGCACTGTGGGAGGCCGAGGTGGGCGGATTGCTCAAGGTCAGGAGTTCGAAACCAGCCTGAGCAAGAGTAAGACCCGTCTCTACTATAAATAGAAAGAAAATTAATTGGCCAACTAATATATATAGAAAAAAAAATTAGCCGGGCATGGTGGCGCATGCCTGTAGTCCCAGCTACTCGGGAGGCTGAGGCAGGAGGATCGCTTGAGCCCAGGAGTTTGAGGTTGCTGTGAGCGAGGCTGATGCCACGGCACTCACTCTAGCCTGGGCAACAAAGTGAAACTCTGTCTCAAAAAAAAAAGAAAAAAAGAAAATACTTCCCAAAAAAAAAAAAAAAAGATATTGCCAAAGTCACCCCAACCTTAAGCAACCACCACCCTGATCAGTAAGTAGCCATCAATAGTGAGGTAAAAAGATTGTAACTCATCGAAGATTCAGGTGATCATTAGCACTTTTCAGCAATAAAGTATTTTTCAATTCAGGTATGAGCATTTTTTAGACATAATGCCATTGCACACTTAATAGAGTACAATGGAGGCATAACTGTAACGTTTATTATACACTGGGAAACCAAAAAATTCGTGTGGCTCACTCTACCGTGGGAGTCTGAGATGGAATCTGCAATACCCCCAGGTATGCTTGTGTTATTTTCACTTTCCCTTCTATATGACCCACCAGCTGGTTGGATCCAAACCTTTCTTGTCAATTTTTTTTTTAAATTTTTATTAAATAGCCCAATCGCCTCTCAATAAATTCTTTTTTTAAACTAAAAAAAAAAAAGCATCTCGTTAAAATCACATACACATACATCTGTGTTAGAAGGCATAAAAGAAGAAAAAAAAAAATCACACACACAGAGGAGCTGTGGTTCGCAGGGAAGTGACTAACCGTGGTCTCCCCAGCCCCGATTCGTAGTGGCTGTCAATTTCTGGCCGATTTCAAAATGTCAATGCCACGTCTCCAGATTCCTGAAAAGTTAACAATGGGCTCTCACTCGCTCTGCTCAGGCTGGGTTCGAACCTCGCTGACCTTTTTCGCAGTGATCCGCCCGCCTCAAGCCTCCCAGAGTGCTGGGATGAACAGGCCCCGTGAGGCCACCGTGCTGCGCAGCATTATGTTTTGCAAGCTGCATTCCCCATCACAGCAGGGGTCAGGAGTTTATTCCTTTTTATGTCTGAATAGCATTCCAGTGAATGTATGGCCACATTGTGTTTATTTACCTGTGGACGGACGTTTGGGTTGTTGTCACCTTGTGGCTATTATGAATAGTGTCTCTGTGAACATATGTAGCGAGGCATGTAATATTAATATATATATGTGTGTCTCTAGTGTCTCTGTCTACGGTGGCTCACGCCTGTAATCTAGCTTCTCTGGGAGGTTTTTTTCCGAGTGGGTTGGATTGCTCCAGGTCAGTTGAGTTCGACAACCAACCTGAGCAAGAGCGAGACCTTTTTCTTTACCTCTCTAGGCTATAAATAGAAAGAATTAATTGGCCCAACGAATATATTGAAGACAAAAATTAGCCGGCATTTTTTCGTGGCACACGCCTGTAGTTCCCAGCTACTCGGGAGGCTGAGGGCAGGAGGAGGCTTGAGCCAGGGAGTTTGAAGTGGGTTTGCTGTAGGCTAGGCTGACGCCCACGGCACTCACTCAGCCTGGCAACAAAGTGGACTCTGTCTCAAAAAAAAAAAAGTGGGCCAGATCAGTGGCTCAGGCACCTAATAAT